GGGGGTTCGTTTGACTCTTATTTCGTTATTTCAACTAAACAACAAACAAACAAACAAACAAACAAACAAACAAACAAACAAACAAACAAACACTATTAATAGGGATAACAAAAGAGTGAAATGCCCGCAGCAGCCACAGCATGCCTGTAACACATGAAAACTGATTAGGTTGACAAGCAAGAATATGCATGTATAAAAAGTACCTGGGTCATGTAATTCAGAAGCATGTGGGCGACAGTACACTTTGTTCAAAATTGATGTCAAAATGACACGCAGACAAAAGAAAGTTTTCGTCGTAAGTGGTTGGCGAGTGCTGTGGTGTGGTTTGCTCCTTCTTTCCTATCAAACATCTATCGTCCTTGTCTTTCCTTCTTCTCTTCTGCGTTTGTTACTTTCTTAAATTGTAACACCTTTAATCTTCGGCGTTTAAATATGACTTAATTGAGTTGCAAATGCGGTTTAACTCTTACTAAAACTAAAAGACACTACTTTCACAGCCTGTCCAACTTCACACGCTTATCAAAGGTGTCATGACGAGGTAGAATCAGTTTTTTTGGGGGGAATAAGGAGTTAATGGTATTAAAGTGTGTTTAATTGTCTTTCGTTTGATAAAAAAGATTATTCATTTATCTTCAATAGAAGTCGAGATATTTGCTTTTGAAGGAGGTGGGGGTCACCTAGTTTCAGAGGTAACATTAGAGGGGAAAAGGCGCCAAAGTTTGGTGACTTCCAAAGATTGAGAGTCCTTGGAAACTGTAAATCTATATTTTCTGTTTCTTTGTACAACGTTTTTCAGCAAAAGCCACTCAGCAATGTGTTTTCAATAGACATAAAAGCTGTTAAGCAAAAAAATAAAAATACTTTAAAAATTGCCCAACGGGGAAAAAAATTCCGTTTCCTTCGATGTCATTATTTTGACGAGTGCCTGATTTCACCACGATGCCTCACAGTCAGGGAAGTCGGTGGAGGAGTTAACGACAGGAGTCTCCGTCTTCTGTTCCAGGAACACCAGGGAACACATGAAAGATAATAATTTATCATTTAAAAACTATGCCAGAGTAAGCTTTAAGCTCTGAATTAAGAGATGGGTTAGGGGGGGGGAGTG